TCAGTGCATTTACGGTTCTTATTTTACAACTATGGCCCATCAAAATCTCGTAAGAGAAGAAAGCTGTGCCACGAACAGCGCTTTGCCCTTTCTATATAAGCTGCACTACGCTGAATGAGAAAGATTTCCTGCTCCCATCTATTTGTTGTGGGGCATCCCATGTCTTTGCTTGGTTAAAAACAGGTCATTTTCCTACAAGTCTTCCCTCTTTTTTAGAGCAAGAAGCGCCCCGTTCATTTCACCGATTCGAGTTTAGAATTCGAGTTTTGTTATATCAAAAAGCTCTCAGAAACAGTCACATTTAACTTTTTTGCTACAGTAAAAAGCTCTCACATAAAGTCACATCTCAACTCGAATCAACGAACTAAACGGGCCCTATATATACATAATGTGTACGGCAAAAAAAACTTTATGATAAAGTATGAATAAATATACTTTATCAATCATAAATATTTACAATTGATTCAAAATCTTAACTCCTCGAATTCCTTTTATGATCAAAACTTAATTTCTTTAATTTTCCCCAATATACATATGGTATAATATTGTCTTGTAGTACTCTATAAAGATCTATGTGATGTTTGTTTTAAGGGTTCTGCTTGATTTAGGATCATAATTTTTGGTACTGTTATAGTGTTTTTCTCTCACAAAAAATTTAAATTTTAAAAATCGAAATCAAGAACTATAATTTTAAATCCATAAACTAAACGTCACCCTAATTGAGAATTTTGAGCTCAAACGCTCGTGATAATGGAAAAATATAACCTCATATATATTGTAACTAGTTTTTCTGCTTTTAGTTGTAATTGGAAATATTTGGTAGCAGCCATTGTATATGTTGTGCGCCAATAGAAATGCTTAAAATTAATTAACCTGATAGAGAGATGATACGAAATGAATGATTGATGAATTATTTTGTTGTCCACATAATATGATGGGACGTTAGTCATTGGTCAAGGTTTTGGAAGTCGTCTTTCAAGCTAAGGCACCTTTGTAATTGTCTTGTCACCTGTCTATCAAAGCTTTAGATTCACACATGATCGAGTGGTAGGGGCAACGCTAATTGTATCAATCACATTTTATATCATATGAAAACTACACGTACCACTATTATTATGATCTGCACATTATTATAATAGATTACCTCGGTGATCAAAGATTCGAGTGATAGGTGTCCTTTTTTGAGGATATTTAATGTGAAAGTTTGTACTTGATAGTCTAATACTAACTCGGTTGATTTTTAGTGCCCAAAATCGACTTTCCCACGTAAGCTTACCCCTAACACATTCGACGGGGTTGAGTGGCACGCTTCTCGTTAAAAAATAGGGTTTAACTATAGAGTATTCAACGAACATTTCTGTCAGCCTTTGTGAAGCTCATTAGATAGCCCCTTCTAGACTTTTTCTTGATTAAAAGAAAAAGTGAAAAAAAAGAAATAAAAATCTATTTAAGACTACAGCTGCATATGATCCAGCACATATATCATTAGCCTGCAAACAGTACTGGTCAAATTTTCTGTTCAAGCAAATCCCAATTTCATGAGCAAATAACATTACACACGTTGCTATTAATATTAAAGGAATCGTGGAAAATTTGCTTCAATAATCACGTGGTGAGCGGTGTGGTTTGACCTTTATCATGATCTTGCCTCTTATATATAATTATGTTTCATGTGTAATTTTTTTTCTCTACTGAACAAAGCTGTACGCCTCTAGCGTACATACTGGAAACCGATCCAAAATCCTACATAAATTGCATTTCCTAGTGCTACTTTATATACTCATGTATAAGTTTTACCAGAAAATCATAAAGAATATCCTCTAGGGTCGATATGTCAAATCCCTTAAACTAGGGGCCAAAGGAAAAGAAAATATAAAAGGTTCTCCCACTTTGAGATCAGATGCATGCATATAAAATGCAAACACTACTTGGTTGCATATCCTTATCAAAGAATCAAATATTTACTACGCGGATGAAGATAAGACCGAGACCAAACAAATCACTTTTCCTAGTAACATTAGCTAGGGAAGAGCTAGCCACAGCGAAACCAGAATTTTCAAATGCACGTGACGGTATAAAGTTATTAATTATGCATTTAAAATCTGATTCGAGACATTCTTATGAAAATATGAACATAATCAAATATGTAACACAATTTCCTTTTTTTATTTTATTTTATGGAATATGTAACACGTTGAGTGTGACAAACACTAATTAATGAATATTATTGGCCAAATCAAACATATAAGTATAGGAGAAGGAGATTATGTACTAAATGGACGTGGCACAAAAAAGTTCACAAGTAGAGTCACTTGATTTATAAAAGGAAATTAGAACTATATTTTTAATTGGAGAAAATAATTATTAGTACAAATAGAGACAAGACAACAGTTAAAAACCATCATTAAGACATACAATAATATTAAAAAGCGTTATTAAATCATTGTGTGATTGTATGTATTTGAGATTAACCACGATTTTTAAATGAGCTAATGCTAGCTATAGTGGGTCATTTAGTACGACGATTTCCCATATAATTTCTGTTGTTAAATGAGCAGCAAAAACAGAAAAAAAAAAAAAAAAGTTGTTTTCCTAGTTTTCTTAAGGGTGCATGTCTTGTCCGTGTGTTATATTATTTTATTTTTGAATGAAGAGAAGAACTGATATTAAGAAAATCTTAAACATACAAACTAAAGTTGGCCCCAAAAGAAAAGCCATCCGCACCCAAGCCCTAACTCAATATCATCAAAATAAAAGGGGAAAAAAATCAAATACTAAGTTCATTGAAAATTTAAAATAATTATAACAATCCTGAAGGGCAAACTGACCAAAACCAAAAACCAAGTAGAAAACCCCATCTTAAATCCTAACCGGCGGAAACTCTGGTCAAAAGACTAAGCCAAAAGAGTCACATCTATTATCCCATTTTTCTGTCTTCTTGGTTGTTAGTCCAATCAGTTTTGGACACCTCATTTAATCGTTTAAATATTTTGAGTATTTAGTTTTTATTCATACAATCATTAGTTACACTTACATGACACATGACAAATCATTATTGGAGGACAGTAAAAGGGATAGAAAAATTGAATTTGGATGCAAATCAAAACTATATCTTTGAAAATCAGTATCTAAAACATGAGACTCATAAAAACTTTACAAGTAAAACCTGGAAGGCAAAATTTAGTATCTTTTTAAAATAGGTTCAAAGGAGAGTTTAAATTTTGTGAGAGAAAACACTCTATCAGAACTTTTTAAATTGACTTTTTTTTTTTTTTTAAGAAAACAATATTTGAACAACAATTATGTAGGTTTGAATCCATAAACCAAACACGCTCTTAATAAAGAAAAAAAAGTGCCAATATGCTAGAAAGGAATTAAAGGAATAAACTAGAGCCCCTCAACAAAGCAATCGAAAAGGCAAGATCAATAAGAGGGAAGGCGTCAATATGGCATACGGATTTCCGAAATAAGCGAAAGCTCCACGCCACATTTTTTATTTTTATTTTTATAATTTTTCTTAAATTATGGTTAAATCCCCAAATTAAAGTAGTGTTAATTAGTATTTTTTTCCCCATTTTGCCAACAATAATCATTAGTAGTTAGTAGTTAGCGTTATTGATATGTCAAAATCTATAATATGGCAACAATAGTTCTTAAAAGTTCTGTAATTCAAACTGATTAATAATTTAAAAGTTATTTTTCCATTTTGTCGTTGCTTACTCAAAAATCACCCGGGAACAATTAATTAAAGTAGCACTTGATCCAAGTCATCAACTTAAATAGCGTCTTGAATACTCAGAGCTATGTAGGTTATTAATAGCTATATATATATATATGTGTGTATATATATATATATATATATATAGGGAGTACATATGCATGCATTTGGATATGGACACAGCAATGTTACTATTGCGAGGTCTAAGGAAGCGTCATTTGGGCAATTACGTGGAGGTTTTTTGTTGGAGACAGCTCATATGTTGCCAAATACGGAAGATAAGGCCTTAGATACAGTGACAATGATGTGCAAATTCTACGCTCACATGTTACCTTGTGCAACGAATTTAGAGACAGATTTTCTTGCACATCAGAATTGAGAGGCCGATAGATATATATCCCAGTGGAATAATCTTTTCTTAATTTTCAGGAGAGACTACTTATAGAATTTTTTGTATATTAGCAAAATTTTTTTTTTTTTGGTGAGTAATAGTAGAAGAATTAATTGTGAAATAACTTTTTTTTTAGTAAGGAATTGTTTAGAATATTTTAGTTGCTCAATTGTTATCATATGAGTTAAAACAGTCACACCAATGTCATTTTCATAGAGCAAAAATATTTCCATATGCAATATTTGTGTTAACAAAGTCCGGTAGAAAGTGGCATTGGCACTTGGTAAAATTCTTGTCCGTTGGATTAATATTTATAAAGCTCAATTAATGTTGAAAAGAGCCAAAATGGGGAGTCATATTGAGCCGAAAAGAAATATTTGACCTGTCGTCGTTCCTTTCATTATCAACCAATCAGAACTCACCACGATGAGGTAACGGCCATAAGTCAATCATAATTAAATTAGATGAAAGTTATTGAAATGACCAAAATAGCCACGAGGGTTTTACCAATTGGTTACGTAATATTATCTTGCATGCGCTTACGTGATCAGCTCACTGATACAGAGTGGTGACTAATGACTAAGATTGAGTAATTTTTGCTTATCACAATAAATAAAAAAATAAATAATAAAAATAAAGAATATAGTACTTTTTCACACTCGCAATCTAGAGGAGGAGAGAGAAACTTAAATATGACACATTTATTATTATTATTATTATTATTATTATTATTATTAATCTTTTTCCTGATTAGAAGACACGTCTCTTGGGGGGTGAACAAAGGGCGGTTCCAATTCCATTGACAAATAGTACATTTTCTTGCTCCCTTCTTTCCTATTTATATATCAACATTCTTACACGTATCCTTAAATCCTTACTTCTTTTGTTTTTCTTAGCTCTCAAGGCAATAATATTTCTGTTCTTTCACTAGCAGCTAGATATTTCCACAACTTAATTTTTTCTCTACCCCTTTTCGTTATTAACCAAAAGCTGTGGATATAATATGGGAAAAACTCCTTGTTGTGAGAAAGATGGACTGAAAAAGGGTCCATGGACGCCGGAGGAAGATGAGAAACTCATCGGTTATATTCAAAAACATGGGCATGGGAGATGGCGAACCCTTCCCAAGAATGCAGGTAAAGTTAATAGTACTATATATATATATATATATATTAATTCTCTCCACTTTTGATCATCACAATTTCATACAGATTGAATCTAATTTTAGACAATTCCATGTAAATAACTTCATTTTATTGTTTAATTTTTTTTTTTTTGTTTAGTAAAGTTAAATAAGGATAGAGATATTTATAAGATGGTTCTTAGTAATCACCATAGTTCTTTATGTATATAATGTAGAATGAAAGGATTACTAAGAAAGTCTGGGAGTCAGTCTGAAGGCGTAGTTGTTTGTGAAGCAGTTCAGTTTTCTATATTTTCTTGCTTTCATGATGATTGAATTATTAGTACGTAATGCACATAATATTGATATATGTATATATATATATGAGTATATATATATATATGTATTTATATATTATATTACATACGTATATGTGTGTGTGTGTGTATATATGCAACTTAATTCCATGTTATAATTATTGTATATACATGCAATAGTAGTGGTTGAATTGCATAATAACTCATCTAACTGGAAGTAACTTTGTTTTTATATGTTGTTGATAGGGCTGAAAAGATGTGGAAAAAGTTGTCGGCTTCGCTGGAGTAACTATTTGAGACCTGACATTAAACGAGGACGGTTCTCATTTGAAGAAGAGGAGACCATAATTCAACTACACAGTGTCTTGGGAAACAAGTGAGTACATGACCTTTTCCCACTTTCATCACCATGCACTTCTATACCTAACGACTTGATTATATTATTCCTTTTCATCTCTTTTTTGGTTAATTATAATAATTTCTTCGCTTCCATAATCAAATAAAATAGTATAATGATATATATGCTAGCTGGCTAACTATCTATATAAATGATGTTGTAGTTTTTGTACTTGTACAAAGACTACCTAGCTATACTTCATAGACTTCGCTTTACATTAAGGCCTGTTTTCAAGTCAATGGTATTAGTTGTCTCATTAATTGATGTAAGTCCTACATATATTGAATATGATCCATATCATAAAAAGTACGAATATTCTTCTAAAACTATGTTGTGTATCTCTATTTTTTTTTCTTTTTTTTTTTAAGTAAATAATAATAGAAAATGACTGATATCACAATTAACTTAGCGCATCTCAAATTGTTTTTCATTGATTTTGTTCTGTATATCTAATTTAAAATTATCTTTTTGTTGGTCTCTATCTTAGGTGGTCTGCGATTGCCGCTCGTTTGCCGGGAAGAACAGATAACGAAATCAAGAATTATTGGAACACCCACATAAGAAAGAGGCTATTGAAAATGGGAATTGACCCGGTGACTCACACCCAACGTCTTGATCTTCTTGAACTCTCATCACTTCTCAGCTCATCTCTTTACAATCCATCATCATCTCATCAGCAAATTCATGTCCAAAACCTGCTTGGAAATATGGGACCTCTTGTGAACCAAAACCTCCTCAACTTGGCCACAACACTCTTATCTTACCACCCCAAAACTACTAGTACTAGTACTAGTACAAGATTTAATGTTCCACAAAATGTTCAAGAAATTAACCCACTTAATGTCCATCAAAACCAATTCCAATCTTTCCAACCAAATGTTCAGCCTTGCACAATATCAAGCACTACTTCCAATACTAGTACTGTCCCTAGTTATCTAAACGACACGCAATTCATGCAATTAGCGAAAATGGATCCGTTATCTGAAAGCCTCACTAGTTGTACTAGTTGGCCTGATAGTTCTTTAAGCAATATGTGGCAAAACAGTGTTGGAGAACAAGCTTTATTCACTCCTGCAGAGAGCTATGCTGCCATGGCAAGTACAAATGGCTATCTGGATTCTACTCAGTCGTCGTCGATTGTCAATTCTTTGTCGGAAAACCAGGCTTTTGTTTCTTCTGAGGTTCCGAATAACATCGCGAATATGAGCTTCAGTTCGCTTCTATCAACGCCTTCTTCGAGCCCACATAACTTATATTCGTCATCAACAACTTATGCGAATAGCAAGAATACTACAACTCATGAAGATGAGAGGGATAGCTTCTGCAGCAATATGTTTTTGTATAGTGATATAGCAAATTATGGCTTAAACGGCAATGAATTTGTGTAAGCAGACGACAGTGTGTAGAATGCGCACAGCATGATTAGCAGTCTTTTTTCATGTTTAATTTTTCTTTTTTTGTTTTTTTTTTTGTTTTTATATTTTTTGTTCCTGTTTGGTTATAATGGAAATCAAACTTATTAATGATTTTAATTAATTGTTCATTATATATAACAATTAAATTTTCGTTTTGATTCCTGAAGTTTAGTTACATTATTTGGGGTAATTAACAATTTATGTGTTTATATTTCTTAAAAGTGGCAACAAGTTTTGCTTTTCTTGGGAAAAATTTCATTTCAGTAAAAAACAAATTACACATTCAAACTAGTGGCAAGTGAGCACCACCTCGATCCCAAACGTTGATTGGATCCACGGATAAAGTACAGGGGCAAAACACAAGTGTCAAGACCTAACAGGGAAAGACCCGCTCAGCTCATAAAGATTGAGTGTGACGAAGACTCGTTAGACAAAATCACTATAGTCGATGAATTAATACCAGTCGACCAAGGTAAAATCCTAAATAATGGGACACAAACTATACAACATAGAATCAAATCTAGTCGGATACAATCATCTATGCTATTAACAAATGGGTGTGACACATTGACAAAGTTGAAAAGCGGGGAAATCACCTCAATTATTACAGGATTAACATAATAACAAAACAAGGACTGAGAGTCTGACGACTAATCAAAAGTGGCGTCAAGATTCTAACCTTAAAGAAAAAAACCAAAAAGAGAAATTTAGCCGTCTCTATGAAGGAGAGAGAGGAAGGACAACCCTAGCCCTTTTGTTTTTTTACCTCAATAGCAATATATACTTTTTAACAACTACAAATACAAATAACGAGTAATATTCAACAAATCTCATGCAAACAAGTCTTTGCTTCCAGCAATGTTAAAAATATAGATGCTGTACTTGTATTTATCTTTCTTTCAATTGAGAGTACCGAAAAAGATCCACGTAACGAAATCGAACAGAAAATCGTAGAAAATGTGCAGTAGTCGTGAAAGCGAACCAAAAGTAGCACTGAAAATTTACGAATCATTAGAAAGGAACTAAAAAAGAAAATTTAACGAGTATTTTTCGCTGAAAACGAATTATTGGAGTTACGTTTACGTTTAAATTACCTCCAGATCTTGTCGTTCAAACGTTGACTTGCTTTACACCGAGCGGACAACAGAACTGTTAATCCAGCTAGATATATATATATATATGTATATGTACGTATATACACCAATAATTCACTTTTTTTTGTCTTGGTTTTTCGATCCTTGATTTTTGTTTTTTGTTTTTTTTCGTTTAGACATCATAATCTTTTCCTTTTTTCAGAAAACTGAACAATTGCATTTTATTGGTGTTAGAGGCGGGGACCGCTTTCTATATTTCCTTCTTTTCTTCTTTTTGCAAGAGCAAATATTTCTTTGTGTATATGTAACTAACATGTACTATTTTTCACAAAAAAAATATGTAAACAAAAAAAAAAAAAAAAACTAACATGTACTATTTCTAGCAAAAAAACTAACATGTACTAATAATCATCAAATTTTGTTGATTTACACTTGAAATTATAGGAGAGGGCAGCCGGCAGGTCTATTCAAGTTTAACTCGAACAGAGAAAAAAAAGAAGAAAAACCAGCTGGTCAATTCAAATGTAGATATTTATAGGGTACCCATATATAACATAACACCATGAATATTTTAGAACTCTAGAATAATATATAATTAGGCACCAAATTATTTTGTTAATTCGAATCACAACTCAAATTTTTACTACAATATTTTCTCTTACAAAAATTTAAATTTAACCTTTTCTGTTATAATATTTTCTTTTGTATAAATTTACTTTTTAACTCAAGTTTTTAATTCGAATTAGCAAAACGAACGAGGCTTTAGTCATTTATTTTCTATTAATTAGTTCATGTGGTGCTAGGTTTTCTATGCATATGTCGAATAAATTCTAAAATCAAATTTATAGGTGTCAATAATGACTTGCAAACCCCTTTAAAAAAAATAAAAATAATGACTTGCAAACAAAATAGAAGAAAGAAATTTTATGAAAGCAAAAATAGTAACTAACTATAAATTATAAGGGAAAAATTATAAAATTAAACCACATAATATAACTCGTTAAATAAAGTTGCACTTTGAAGAATTGGGATTTATCAAAATTATTTTTCTTGTTCATGTTTCACTCCTTGGTTGGAATTTTGTATGATTAGGCTCAAGTCCAATGATTGGACTTTTCATTTCCTAGACTCTCTGATCAAATATCTAGTATAGCAATTATACGTTCAATCGTTGTGAAAAATACTTTGGATTTTACAGCTCTGGCTCTTTTGGACGTTTGGTTAATATGCACATCCGACTGATGTGTGTCTCACTAAGCATTATCTGGTAGGACTTAGGTCCATCTGGAGCATTATTGCCTAGGATTGCTTGGCCCATTCTTGCTTATGTTACGTGGAAGGCTCTAATTAGAACACAACTTTCAAACTTCTCTAATGACATATGGTTGATCCACTAACAGAAAAAACTTTCGTTTGCTTCTTCATAGAATCGGCACCCCATTTTTTTAGTGTAAATTTCGACAGTTCTTAGGAAAAATGACGTTTTGATCAATAAACAGTAAAAGTTACGGCCAGTAACGGCATGTTTTTAATCATGTGAAGTTTGTCATCACCTTATTAACAAGAAAGACTTATGGTTATTTTAGGAGATGTTTGTTTCCTGTATTCATCTTTGATTCTAAATCATGATTCATGATTATCTACAGTATTTTTCTCTCACAAAAAATACACGTAAAATGAGAATAATTCTGAATCTATGAACCAAACGTAACCGACCCTATTAAAATCAAAGAGTGAGTGAGAGACGGAGATTTGAGTTTTTCAAATTAAAAAAAAAAAGAAAAAGAAAGAGCTAAGAGGCGCAAAGGTGGGCAGTTTGGTGCTTTTTGAGCGAGGTGTGGCTCTATTGCAAAAGGGCGGTTTGGAAAAAATTTCGAAACCAAGACTGTTGATCCTAAATAGCGTGCAGGGCGGTTTGAGACGGGCAAGTAAAGAGTTGTTTGAGTCTTATTAGATTTTTGTTAAAAAATGCTAAACAAAAAACTAAAAAAAAAAAAAAAACGCAGGACTAATTTTGTTGTATGTTTTTACTGTGTTTTGAAGACATTTATTATCAATTTATTATCTTTTTAAGCTTAAAAAAAGCTATCATGCTTCATATTTCATAATTTATGCTTAATCGCATGTAACAGATATTGTGGGATGGCTTGAAACAGCAATCTAGCAGGATGGTGCGTTTTCGATAAGTCATGAATGAGGCGGTTTGGTGGGTTCTCGAGGTTTTGTTTTGTGGGTGGAGGTGAGTCGTGTGGTGGTGCGTCTGTCGGCCTTCAACACCAACAATGATATGCATCTGCCAATCCAACATCTTTTTCGGTAGTTTTCTTCTCTTAGTTTTGAAGAATTTGGCCACCTTAAGATATTCTGACATATTGGGTGTGTTTGAAGTTGTTTTCATTTTTGTTTTTCACGTTTTTTGAGAAAAAAAATAAAAACGGAAAAAAAACGGTGTTTGGCACATTTAAAGATAAAAAAAGGAAATGAAAACGATTTTTTGGTTTAGTGTAAAATGAGAGAGAAATGAAAAATGAATTTTAGTCGTTTTTCATTTTTGTTTCTGTTTTCTCCCTTCTCGAGTAGAGGGAGAGAGAGAAACATTAATGAATTTTTTTATACTGAAAACAATCTCTTAAAAAAACTATCAAACGCATTTTCATTTTTGATTTCTGTCTGAGATTGAAAACGTTTTCATTTTCAATTTCATATAAAAAATAAAATCATTTTAGAACGAGTTCCAAACGCACCCATTGATTTTTTTGTTTGTAATAACAGTAGTTGTTATCTTGATTAGTTTGTGTTTTGTCTCCTTGTTTGTAGTTTAAATTTGATATCTATTAAGACGAAAAAGTACTTATTGTTTGTTTATTATAACAAGCATGTGACTATTTGTTTAGAACTTTAGAATTCGTCAATGACTTGTAAGACTTCGTTTGGTAAGAGAGATATAGAGAAGGAATGACGGAGAGAATTGAAGAGATGAAGAATGTAAATGATGAAGATGATTATAATAATTCTTTATGTTAGTTTGTAGGAGGGAGAGAGAGTTGAAAGAGTAGATGATATTTTTTATTTAATTACTATATTATCAATTTTACTATTTGTTAGTAATTACTTTTGAAGGATAAAAAAATCATTTTCTTATTTTAGGTGAATTAGTTAGATCTCTTCACTCTTCTTTGGTCCTCCTTTTATCTCTCCCTCCTTCCTACCAAATGTACCTTATAGTCAGCGTGTTGTGTCACATAAATACTTTGCAATCTTCTAGTGAAAAATGACATGTTGTCCAAAATATGTTGTTTGTTTCGCTGTGCAGTTTTAGAATTTTTTTTTCCTAATCGTACATTTTTTGCCGTTTAGAGCATCTCTTATCATGTTGATATTTTATGTATATAGGCAAAATGACTAATGATTTATTTATTCTAATCATTAACTAAATGGTTAGCTATTTTAGAGAATGCACTTGACACTAGCCAAATATAGTTAGTGAGCATCTCTAATGGAGCTCTCTAATTTTAGCTAAATTATAGCTAAATTGGTTAGAAAACTATTTTAACTAGTAATTTTTTAGTAAGTCACTCCAACCATATTCTCTACTTTAACTAAACATAAATTATTTTAATATTTTTTTGAGTATATAATATAAATAATTTTTTTAAACTTTTACTTTATGTCAAAAAAATAAAAAAAATAAAAAGACCAAATATCTAGTTACTTCTTGCTAGCTATATTTAGAGATCTCTAAGGGAGCTATCTAAATTTTAATAAAATTCTAGCTAAAATGTTGGAAAGCTATTTTTAACTAGTAACTAGTTACTCCAACCATACTCTCTACTTTAACTAAACATAGATTATTTTAATTTTTATAGTTTAAAATATAAATAACTTTTTTTTAACTTTTATTTTATGTCAAAACAAAAAATAAAATAATAAAAAGAATAAATAGCTAGTCACTTCTTGCTAGTCATATTTAGGTAGTGCAAAATGCTTTAGCCAAAATAGCTAACTATTTAGCTAATGGTTGGGGTAGAGAAAAATTAAAAAAGCTAAATAATTAGCTATTTTAACTAAAATTATGAAATACCTAACATGGTTGTAGTTGCTGGGTTAGCCATTTATTTATTTATTATTTTATTTTTTGAGTTGACATAAAGTAATAGCAAAACAATTATTAATATTTTAAATTAAAAAATATTAAAATAATGTGTGTTTAGTTAAAATGAGAAATGTGGTTAGAATAACTCATCAAAAAGTTTCTAACCAAAATAATTTTCTAGTTAGTTTAACTAAATTATTTAGTTAAATTTAAAGAGCTCTCATATAATGCCAAGAAATGAATAGCAATAATCCATCCAAAAATGTTTAAGACGAGGAATCGTAGATTACTAATACATATAGGTGTGTGTATATATACATATTTATTGTCAAAAGTTTGTTGTGGAAACGAAATATCGCATGTCAAAAATTGGGGGACCTTCAATTTTTTCCGTGAAATGGTTAATCTCTAATTAATTTGAAAATATTAGTCTCTCGTAAAAAAAAAAAAAAAAAACTGCAAAATATTTTTGGACTAGAATTTCATAGGTGGGGATTAAATATGCTTGAAACCAAGTTTAATTTAAAAAAAAAAGAAACATTCGTATTTCATAATTTTGCTCGTTTAATATAAAATTTTAGTATTTACTAGTGCTACACTTGAATAAATTTCTATCTTCATCACTAGATCCAAATACAGCACCTGTATGAAGTTAGAGCCTCACGATATAAAAAATGCATCCATGAATTTTGTGCAAAAACATTTCTCTTCCTATATTATTCATCAGTAAAAAAAAAAAAAAAAAAAAAAAAAAAAAAAAAAAAAAACAAAACAAACACTTACGTGGTTTTAACTTCTAACTATATCCTAATATGATAAATTCACACTTAAATATATAACTAGATGTCAAGTGTAAATTCCCTTTCCATCCCTATCTTCAAGTTAAGAAAAGAAAAAGTCTTATAAACAAAAATTATCAGGAGCTTGGAGAAATACAAAGAATAAAAACGAGCGTGTCGTTTGCTTGAGTTTGTGCTCAGATAACAAACACACGGTGCACATGTGTGTAAAAATTGAAAACCAGTAACGTTTTTAAAATAATTTTATTTTTAATACAAAAATAAAAATGAGATTGTTTTGAAAATAATTTATAAATTAATTTTAAAATTATATTTATTTTAATTTTTAAGAGATTATTTTAAATATAATAAAAAATTAAAATTATTAAATAATATATTATAACAATTCTAGAAAATGATGAAAATAGAAAATAATAATAATTTTTAACCGTCGTATAATTTTTCAATAAAAATTATTTTTACTGTTTTTTATTTTTATTTTTATAATATTTACTACACAAATTTAATTTACAGATCATTCTTATTTTCATGTCTCAAAAATCAAAATACGCACAAACATTTTAAAAAACCCACCCCCTCAACCTCCCCTAGCATCGCCACCTTCCCCGGCGGCTCCGTCCGGCGCCTCTTTTCAGACCGCAGACAACGGTCTCTCTGTTTTTCCGTCAAGGAAAACGCCGCCCAGTGTATTGCGCCAACTGGGTATTTTGGAAAACTCCGATCCTTAATCCCAATCGCCATGTCCAGGTCATTTTCTTGTACAACAGTCTTTTTTGTTTTGTGGTTTTATTTATTTATTTATTTATTTGTTTTAATTAATTATTTATTTGTTTCTTTTTGTCGCTAAGTTCTTTACTTGAGTGCCCTGTTTTTGAATCGTTATTTTTGGTGTTTTATTGTTGATTAAGCTGAGGCACATAGAAGTGATTTTGAAATCGGAGTCAGACATAAAGTGGGGAATATCAATTGGGTTATTAGTTCATGATAATGTTGCAATAGAGTATTTATTATTTAATTCTCTCGGCAAGCAAACAGAGGAGTCTATTGAACTGGGTTTTGTTTTGTTTTGTTTGTTTCGGGCCTCATTCCTTATTTTACTTCTGAATGTATATTCTTTCTTGTCTTTAATCCAACTTGTAGAAGTATTTATAGCTTTAGTGAAAAAAAGGAGCTTTTTCTACATTTTTTTTTTCTCGTCTGAGAAAAATGGAAAATTCTGTCGTAGGTTGCCAAGAAAACCTTTCTGGTAACAGGTAAGACGCAGTTTTTAATTGTCATCAGATGAAGAAGATTATGATAGTTCAATGGAAATTAAAGAAATTCTAACGGTTCCAAACTATGCCTACAAAATAGGTTTCTTATTATTATTATTATTATTATTATTTTTTTTTTTTTTACCTACCAGTGAATTCTCTGATAGAAAGCTGTAACAAGACTTTCCAACATTTCCTGTGGAAGATTGTGACACCTGACGTTTTGTTTACCATTATGAGATGATCATAGCTTGCGGGTTTTTCTCATTTTCAAACATAGAGGTGATGAAATCTGCATGACTTGCATAACGGAATAATTTCAGGTTCTTATTATTGATGTGTATATTTATCTGTTAAGTCCATTATAGCTTCATAAAAAAAAAAAAATTTGTTTTTCTCTTAATTTTCAGATTTATGGGTAGCGGGAACGTGAGGAGGGTTGCACTAGCCTTCCTTAGAAGTCCAAATTCAAGATGCTTCGAAGTAAATAGTGATAGGATATATGATAGAGTTGGTGCCATTAACTCCCTTTGCAGATTATTTTTGTACTACAAACCTTCTTTGAGAGAATATTCTCTGTATAAAGCAAACAGTAACTTGTTAAAAAGTGGCGGCTTTCGGAATTCCCATGGCCTTGCAACAAGTAATACAATATCTCACCATGCACAAATCACATGGAAGAGATGTTCTCAGCTATGTTCTTATGGTGGTCCGGCTTTGCCACCAATAGGTAGGATTGCTTGTGCGGTGAGCTTGGCTCTGACTCGTTCAAATCTCGTAGCACCGGGTATTATTGCCTTTGTAGTTGGAGAATTTGCTTTGATGGAACGATCATGGGCGGAAGCAGAACAAATTCCTACAAGGGGTACTCTAAATCTCAATGCACAAGATGGACATGTATATTTAACCTCATTTTTGTTTTCACTTCTGGAATTTTTTATCTTGTTTCTCAGAGCGATTTATCTAGCGCTTTTGTTCTCGCCCTGCATTACTATGGCACCTTTCATCGAGTCTCTTGGCATTCAGTACAGGAAGATATGGCTTTCTCTTGTACATCATACACTGGAGAAGGCAGGCCCCGCGTTTATTAAATGGGGTCAGTGGGCTGCAACTAGACCGGATCTCTTCCCAAGAGATTTGTGCAGTGAGCTCGCTAAGCTTCATACAAAGGCACCAGCTCATAGTTTCTCGTTCTCCAAAAAGAGTATCGAAAGCGCATTTGGTTGCAAGCTGCCTGAGATTTTCGAAACCTTTGAAGAGCAACCTGTGGCATCAGGAAGTGTCGCCCAAGTTCATCAAGCAACATTAAAATACAGGTATCCTGGTCAACAGATCAAGCCCATCGTAGTTGCTGTGAAAGTTCGACACCCAGGTGTTGGTGAAGCAATTAGAAGGGACTTTGCAATTATTAATTGTGTGGCAAAAATCTCGAAGTTTATCCCTGCTTTGAATTGGTTGAGATTAGATGAAAGCATACAACAGTTTGCTGTTTTCATGATGTCTCAAGTTGATCTGTCAAGGGAAGCTGCCCATTTAAGTCGTTTTATATATAACTTTCGTAGATGGAAAGATGTTTCATTCCCTACGCCTTTGTATCCCCTGGTTCACCCATCTGTTTTAGTGGAAACTTATGAACAAGGTGAAAGTGTAATGCACTATGTTGATGAACTTGAAGGACACGAGCAGATTAAAACGGCCCTTGCACATATTGGAAGCCATGCACTTTTAAAGATGCTCTTGGTGAGTGTCCTTTTCACTTCTTTGCGTTATACACTGTCTTAATACATTAGTAAATTTGTATAGTCCCTTTTTTTTTTGTATGTGTGTAGTGTATCGAGGTTTATAGCATTCTCTCCCTATGCACCTACAGAACCTATTATAGGAGTTCGTAATTCTTGAATTAGTTATGCAGGTGATTGAATAAAAGAGATTCCTACTCAGGGGAGACTGGATTAATCTATTCTGATTGTTGATGGCTGGATGTTGCATTAATGGTTGCTACTTGATAAAATTTTGAGTTTTCTACCTTTATCTAGTCTGTTAGAATTGTTTCTCTCTCTTCTTCTTCTTCTTCTTTTTTTTATTTTTTATTTATTTTATTTTATTTTTTATAAAGCAGTTGACTGTATTTACCTGAGAGAGGAATCTGGTTTTTCAGGTGGATAATTTCGTTCACGCAGACATGCATCCTGGAAATATTCTTGTCCGAGTAACAAAGGGCATATCATCACCTGAACGGCTCTTCAAATCCAGGCCTCATGTCATTTTCCTTGATGTAGGCATGACTGCTGAACTTTCAAAGAGAGATCGAGCGAATTTACTAGAATTCTTTAAGGCAGTTGCCCTTTGAGATGGTCGAACTGCAGCTGAGTGCACACTTAGATTGTCTAAACGGCAGAATTGTCCAAATCCAAAGACTTTTATTGAGGTAATGCATTTGTTATCTGGTTTCTGCAGCCGCAGTAATACTTTAGCCTTTGCTATGAAAAACTTAAAGGCTACCAAGGTTAACGCGAATATTTTTGGTAGTCGCGTATGCATATATACTTTTTTGACAGTGATCTGGGTTCTTTATTTTAACACTTTATCACTACTTCGTGTTGATGTTTAATTTGAGGATTCAGTTTTTCTTGTAATTTCTCATATAAATCATGTACAAATTTGGTTCTAGTTGCATGGTGTTCTCAATGAGAGTGACCGTTTTTGTTAATGTCCAAGGATGTGGAGCGACTCAAATATTTTATTCTCTTCATACTTGTTGTTTGGATAAGTGTCTGGAATAATTAGGGTCAATATACATTCTGCCCATAATTTCTTAGAAACATAAAATGAATGGTGAATCACGGACTCCCATGTGATGAAAATACTCAATCCAAGCACGAGGTTCTGTGATGGACAAATTGTTTTGCTGTGTTTGTATGTGCATGCTATGATCTAAAATTAGCACGCAAGAATCTTGCATTTAGTGTTAGCACATACTATGACCTTAACACTAAATCAATAATCTTGCATTTAGTTTTCACCTTTTCGTTTAAAAAACCCAAAAAACTGTTTAAACAAACGATACAAACACACCCTAAGTTTTCTGAGTTTCTAAGTCCCCAGAATATGACCTTAACCTTTGCTCTAATTGTATCCAATTTTGATTTGGAGAAGTTCCCGTCTTTTCTTTCAAATTAGTAACTGCTGCTGTGTAATTCTTTTCCCTTCTGGGTCAATAAAGCATGCCCTCCTTTTAATATCGAGCAATTACTTGTGAAGTTAATTGGCTGCAGGAAGTCGAAAAAGCATTCAAGTACTGGGACTCCCCGCAGGGTGAATTGGTGAGCCCCGGTGACTGCATGAAGCAATTGCTCGAGCAAGTTAGACGACATAAAGTCAACATTGATGGTAATGTTTGCACCGTGATGGTAACCACTTTGGTTCTTGAGGTAAGCGGTGGTTTTTCTCCCTAGTCCTTCAATCAGTCAATCACTTTGCAATACTCAGACCTAATCTCGGTTCAATGTTATATTAAATCAACCATCAGAACCAATTATCCTAACAAAAGAAGGCGAACCTTTAAGCTATATGTCACTAGTTCCTGATTTCATTGCTCGTATGAACATTTGGTGTCATTTTCTCACAATCAGTTCCTGTTTTGAATTCAAGGAATGATGAATCTGCATATATTCCCACCATCCCGATCCTGAAACTTACCATGTCTCTTTTTTTGTTTCCTGCTTGCGCAAAAGTGAAGTGTTTTTTTTTTTTTTTTTTTTAAGAAAACAATCTGCCCTGCCTTTCTGAATTACGTATTATATGAGCTATTCACAGTAGGAGAAACCCACAAACTTTTCAGTAAAGAGATTTTCACCACATTCATTTTTGGAAATGGGATTATTGAAACACCAGGAAACAAACAAGGTTTCTTAGTATTTCTTTTCAGCATGAATATGATGGTTTCGTCATTATTTTTTCTTAATTTAATCTGGTTCTACAGATTTGGACCAAATCTTTTCCTGGTTTTCCTAAATTTTTTTAATTTGGTCTCTCTTAGGGGTGGCAGCAGAAACTTGATCCAGAGTACGATGTGATGCACACTTTGAGAACATTGCTATTTAAGGTTAACTGGGCAGAATCTTTCTTTTACACCATTGAAGGACTCATGGCGCCATAAAAGGTGCCGTGATCTCTCTCTCTCTCTCTTAATCGAAGAAAAAGGGAACAAAGGACCTCTCTCACTCACACACAAAAAGTTTTGACAATTACAGACTGATCAGAAGATGGTAAAGAGAAGGATACATACATATAAATGAATTATACTGTTTGTCATATTAATAAACCTTCGCAATGGCGAATTTTGCTTCCATCTTCCGTCTTACTTATTAATGAATTCGTCTATTATTATCATTTTTTATACATAATTTCTAACATAAAAGCGATCGATTCTAACTGAAGAAAAATTGACTCAGAATTCTCGTTTGGTGTTCATTTGGTTTTATGCGGAGTTTCTATTTGATTTATTATATACATATATGTACATATATATATATATATATATATATTGTTGAATCAGGCGGTTTTTATCTTATTAGCGACCACAATCATGTTTGTCTCGCATCTCTGATTTTGAAAAATGACTCCAGCTTGATTCATTGGTCTTTAAATCAAGGTATTTGGTTACCAGAATTCCAGAAATTTTAAAAAGAACACATCGGATTAACTTTCTTCATACTTGTTGTTTGGATAAGTGTCTGGAATAATTAGGGTCAATATACATTCTGCCCATAATTTCTTAGAAACATAAAATGAATTGTGAATCACCGACTCCCATGTGATGAAAATACTCAATCGAAGCATGAGGTTCTGTGATGGGCAAATTGTTTTGCTGTGTTTGTATGTGCATGCTATGATCTAAAATTAGCACGCAAGAATCTTGCATTTAGTGTTAGCACATACTATGACCTTAACATTAAATCAATAATCTTGCATTTAGTTTTCACCTTTTCGTTTAAAAAACCCAAAAAACTGTTTAAACAAACGATACAAACACACCCTAAGTTTTCTGAGTTTCTAAGTCCCCAGAATATGACCTTAACCTTTGCTCTAATTGTATCCAATTTTGATTTGGAGAAGTTCCCGTCTTTTCTTTCAAATTAGTAACTGCTGCTGTGTAATTCTTTTCCCTTCTGGGTCAATAAAGCATGCCCTCCTTTTAATATCGAGCAATTACTTGTGAAGTTAATTGGCTGCAGGAAGTCGAAAAAGCATTCAAGTACTGGGACTCCCCGCAGGGTGAATTGGTGAGCCCCGGTGACTGCATGAAGCAATTGCTCGAGCAAGTTAGACGACATAAAGTCAACATTGATGGTAATGTTTGCACCGTGATGGTAACCACTTTGGTTCTTGAGGTAAGCGGTGGTTTTTCTCCCTAGTCCTTCAATCAGTCAATCACTTTGCAATACTCAGACCTAATCTCGGTTCAATGTTATATTAAATCAACCATCAGAACCAATTATCCTAACAAAAGAAGGCGAACCTTTAAGCTATATGTCACTAATTCCTGATTTCATTGCTCGTATGAACATTTGGTGTCATTTTCTCACAATCAGTTCCTGTTTTGAATTCAAGGAATGATGAATCTGCATATATTCCCACCATCCCGATCCTGAAACTTACCATGTCTCTTTTTTTATTTCCTGCTTCCGCAAAAGTGAATTGTTGTTTTTTAAGAAAACAATCTGCCCTGCCTTTCTGAATTACATATTATATGAGCTATTCACAGTAGGAGAAACCCATAAACTTTTCAGTAAAGAGATTTTCACCACATTCATTTTTGGAAATGGGATTATCGAAACACCAGGAAACAAACAAGGTCTCTTAGTATTTCTTTTCAGCATGAATATGATGGTTTCGCCATTTTTTTAGTGTTTCTTAATTGAATCTGGTTCTACAGATTTGGACCAAATCTTTTTCTGGTTTTCCTGAATTTTTTAATTTTGTTCTCTCTTAGGGGTGGCAGCAGAAACTTGATCCAGAGTACGATGTGATGCACACTTTGAGAACATTGCTATTTAAGGTTAACTGGGCAGAATCTTTCTTTTACACCATTGAAGGACTCATGGCGCCATAAAAGGTGCCGTGATCTCTCTCTCTCTCTCTTAATTGAAGAAAAACGGAACAAAGGACCTCTTTTGACAATTACAGACTGATCAGAAGATGGTAAAGAGAAGGATACATACATATAAATGAATTATACTGTTTGTCATATTAATAAACCTTCGCAATGGCGAATTTTGCTTCCATCTTCCGTCTTACTTATTAATGAATTTGTCGATTGTTATCATTTTTTATACATAATTTCTAACATAAAAGTGATGGATTCTAACTGAAGAAAAATTGACTCAGAATTCTCGTTTGGTGTTCATTTTGTTTTATGCAGAGTTTCTATTTGATTTATTATACACATATATATACATATATATACATACATATATATATATATATATAT